CGTTAGGCTAGAAATCGCATCCAATGCTTAGGCTTGAAGCCCTGGGAAAGGAAAAAAATAGAAAATATTTTGCGAAATGTTAAATTCGAACCCGGTGAACGGATAGTCAGCTGGCTAGTCTCATATCCCAAAGGTTCTCACTTCGATGTCTTAATGAAGTCGTAGTGGGTGCGCACTACTGAAGAATCTGAGACTGAGACGAGGAAGTCGTCCAGCCCTACCCCTCCGCCCAATGTTGGTTTTCTTTAATTGATTTTGCCTTTTGATGAAATAATCTACCTTGGGAATCGTTTTTAGTTAGGAATTTTCACTGCTAGGTAGATTTCTCTTTAGACAGTGTATTTCAAATTGCAGATTAACAAGTGAAAAATGACAACCCGCATGAATAAACCAATATTGAGGCATAAATCAAAATTATTTTGTTCTTGTGTGTAGGTGAGAAAGTACAATCATTTCATTGAGTATTCGTGCTTTTAGAAAAATTGTACACTTGTCTGCCTGTGTGTTTTGATATTGTCCGGTAGCAAAATTTATAAAGTGTGCTTTTTGTCCTTTAGGAGACTCTTCTTCCGACTATACAAAGCAAACCATTCACCTCGTAACCTGCGAATCCAAGGTTCTATACTCCATTGGGGGTTGTGCGTGTATGAACTGGTGAAGAGTTCTGAACTGGGACGAAACGGCTGTCCATAGTACTCTTTGGGTTTTTCAGTGTTTCTGTAACTGATGTCAGCTCTTGATTTAACTTGATACTTAAACTTTGGACACCCAACAATTTGTGGACACATCAATGACTGCCTTGGTACGCTCAGTCAGAGCAAGGCAATGAAACACAGTAGGTAACATACTATATTCATGAAGACAGCATTGAATGAAGTTTAATGATATTGATTGATTATAAGTTAGGCTTAGACCAGGGACAGGTAAGACTTCCTTGTATTCTTTTGTGTTCCCCAGTTGAACCTATGACTTCAAAGCTTGAGCTTCAGTAGCGTTTTTTCCGCTGAGGGAGGTTTCCAACCTCACGCCCAACTTTCCCGGCTAAAAGAGGTTTAGGAGTGTATCGTTTGGGGATCTAATCCCGGACCATTTATGTGTTTGGCGAACATTTCACCTCCGAATCACCGACTGGGAATCAAAACTGAGCCTTCCACGTGATATGCGGAAAGTGAGGTTAACCTAATTCGGGAAATTTTAGGGTTGATCAGGGATATATTATGGTTAGTTTAGGCAGAAATTATGGTGAAATTAATTTGGGGGCAGGGTTAGGTTTGAGTTTAGGGTTGAAATTCTTTTTTTTAGTACACTCGTTCGTTCCAAAGTCATTGGTGTATCCCTGCCTCTTCAGCGTCGTCTAAAGTTTGATTTTACCTCAACATGTTAATTGTGTCAAAACGACGTTATTATCATCACTAATTGAAGTTTGATGATGGATTGATATATTGTTTAGAGAACCATTGAGAACTGACAAGGAGTACTGTACAGCTTTTTTGTCCCACTTTTGAAACTTTTCAGATGTATGGATCCATGACATCCCGTCACCAAGGATCAAATCTACGACTTTCAGGCTGTGAGGCTGAGCTTGTTAGAACTGTTCATCCACTTTGGCCAGAATTCATTGACGCGCGAATTCTTACTTCAGTGAATTCGCAATTTCAGCAAAACCAAACAGCTAGTGTCATCGATGAGTAACGTCCTCACACCCGACCCGTTGGGCCTCACCGGTCACGAATTCCTATCCGTTACTGAATCGACAGAAGTTAGAATTTATGGGTTTGCAGAATAGTGTACAAGCGTGACTACGCTACAACCTGAAGGTTTCAGATTTGAACCCTGGAAATCTCCAGGTATTGTGTACTACTGAAGAGTCCCAAACCAGGACGAAATAGCTGTATAATTTCCTCTCTACTTCTTTTCAATGGTTCTCTAACTAAAATCAATCCGTAATCAAATGAGAAGCGATTCAAATCCGTAAAAACTAACTCTTAAAAATTATTATTACTATTTAATTCTCGGCTAAGCTCTTAACTTCATAATCACGAGATACACATATTAGATCCAAGGGAAATTTAATAAAACATGGGTGCAGTGGAGAAAATTTTCTCTTCGACGAAGTTACCAATTCGGTTGTACATCTGTGCATGGATGAGAAAGTTCCAGAACTATTTCAAATCGTGGGTGAAATTAACAAGACTATAAATAGGGATTAAAGTGTCATAACGACAAAATAACAACAACAGCAGCAGCAACATCTAGCGCCAACTCCATCAACGGGAGGGATTTTAAAGAGGTTACTTCTTTCACTTATCTAGGGAGCATTGTCTCAACTACAGGAGGAACGAACGAGGATGTCAAATCGAGAATCGGGAAGGCGAGAAACACATTCATCAACCTGAAACCAATCTGGAAATCTTCGTCACTCAGCATCCACAACCAAATGATTCGGATTTTCAATACAAACGTCAACTCAGTCAGTTCTACTACACGGATCAGAAACTTGGCGGATCACAAAGAATATTTCCAACAGCCTGTTGCACACCTTTATCAACAACTGTCTTCGTTCTATACTGAAGATCAGATGGCCGGAAAGAACAAGAACCAAAAAGAAAGTATGGGAAGAAACAAAACAAGAACCAATCGCCGAACAAATATGCAGGAGACAGTGGAGATGGATTGGACACTCGCTGAGGAGGCCGCTGGGTGACATCGCGCGTCAGGCCATAGCTCGAGTGGAACCCGAAAGGGAATCGGCGAGTGGGACGTCAGTGCAAGGGTGACATGGAGGAAATCGTGTGAAGAAGAGTTGAAACAGTATGGACTAACATGGATGCAAGTGAAAAGTACAGCAGAAGACAGAAGTCAGTGGAGACGTGTTGTTGAAGCCCTATGTTCCACTAGGAACCCAAGTGAACAATAATAATAACAAAATAAGATTCTTGAAGATCTGGATTTCGCGGACGATTTGTGTCTATTGACACGCAACCTTGGAGAGGTACAGGCAAAAATGAAAAGAACTGGCAGAAGAATCAGGCAGTGAAGACAAGACTCCAGATGAAAATAGAGAAGACGGAAGTGATGAAGATAACCAACCGACCAACCAACCAACCAAATGCAACAACAACCAGCTCCAGTCACCATCAATGGGAGAAATTTAAAAGAGGTTACCTCCTTCGCTTATCTAGGAAGTATAGTTTCAACCACAAGTGGGTGAAGATGTTTAAAGCCAGATAGACGGTGTCAGGAAGGCAAAATACACCTTCACCAATCTGAAATCAGTCAGTCAGTTCTTCTATATGGGTCAGAAACTTAGCGTTCGCATCACGAAGTTGCAGACTTTTTGATCAACAGCTGCCCTCTTCGCTGGCTGTAGACTGAAGAGCAAATAGCCGGTCGACCAGAAAGAATCAGCAACAAGAAACTATGGGAACAAATCAACCAAGAACCCTATAACTCAACAAATATGTAGAAGAAAATGGAGATGGATCAGCCACACGCCACTAAGGAGATCGTCGAATAACCTCACACGCTAGGCCATCTCTCAAGTGGAAGCCCAATGAGAAACGACAAAAAAGCAGGTGTCCTAGATTGGCATGGAGGAGGAGGAGAGAGGGATGAGAGATTATGGGCAATCATAGGCCCAGTTGAAGAGTTCAGCAGAAAATAGAACAGTGTGGAGACGTACTGTTCCACATGGAACCCATGGGAAGAGTAATAATAATAATAACCAAATAGTCAGGAAGATTGGATGAAAACATAGTAGTGCGAATTAGGATTAGGAAGTGCAGAAGATAACAAAAATAAACAAAAAGTTTGGATAAGAAACGTAGTAGGTTAGTGGCTATTGAGAAAATTGACTGTTCAATATGCCCATGGTAAACACAGTGCGTCGGTAGCACAGTGGTTAGGACGCTCGCCGACCATGCACATGATCCGGGGTTCGACCTCCGACCGACGCACTCCTTTATCTCGCCAAACCAGTAATAAAAAGCCGGTAAAAAGGAAAGTTTGGGCATGAGGCTAGCAACCTCATCCTGTAAAACAAATACGGCTACAGGAACTCCATGCCTCTAGCTTGAAGCCCTATGTTCTACTGGGAACGTGAAGGAAAAAAATGGTAAACACAAAGGTTGGACCAGTTCACTTGCTCTTGTAGAGCTGTTAGGTGTGTGTGTGTGTATATAACTCGGTAACAGAACATCTGGCGAACTCAGGACATTAAGTACCATTTGAAAAGTCTTTCAAAGGCCTATGCAAGATTCCATCAATCTTCTGAAAATGGAGTCATATCAAAGCCTATAGGTATAGCTGAGACAACTGCGATCCAAAAGTTCCAGCCCACTGTATGTATTCAAAAGAAATTCGTCCAATCTTTGTCTTTACCATGGCTGTTATAAAGAGTCAATTCTATCAATAATGATTATCGGATTACGTTTCTTATGCAAACTTCCTGTTTAATTTCTTTATTATTAGGTTTTTAATCCCTATATATGTAATCTTGTTATTCCTTATGATCCAACTCTTGAATGGAAGTAGTTCTAGAGCTTTCTCACCCATTTACTATATATGTATACACCAATGAACAGCCTAGTTGATGACTTTGTCGAAAAGAAAGTTTCCTTTGCTGAAACTGTCTTGGTAACTGCGAAATCACATAAACTATTCAGCGTATCATTGAAATAAATTTGCTCTTCACTGCAGTATTTCGATTGGTTTATTAAAACAATAAAAAACTCGCTCAACATTCAATTGAATGTATTTCAAGGTCATTGCTTTGACAGCGTTGTAAATGCCATTTCGAATAAGTTCAACCCAGTTCGAATATCCTGCCGATATTATAATATCATAGACTTGATTCCTCCGATACATATGTGATTTTTTAAATATTTTATCGTTTCACACATTTATTTATTTATTTGTTTAAATGATATTGTTGTCTTCTACGCGGAACATTTAAATAATATTTCCCGCCCTTTTTGTATTGCTCGCTTACATTTTTCTAGTTGGCGTTATTTTACTGTGTTGCCTTACACTATCACTTACTCTAGTGATATGTGCATGTTATTCTTCCCTGAATTATCCCTATTTATTCCCTCATCGGAGTCATGGTTATTATCAGCCTTTACGTCAACATTATACTGATCAACAACAGCACACTGATGAACCACCACATGTTGGAGAACATCAGAATCATCAAATTTGTCAACCAAATCTACTCTTACTTCAACGACGTTATCGTAGTAATAATTATCAAAAAGCAATTCAATTAGAAGAGTTAAAAAAGTCTACTGATAACCGGAAAAAATTGAAACATAAACGTAAATTATATAATGTCTATTTGAATAAAGAATCAACTGGACAAGCGGATAGACAACACTTACTACTTAATTATACTATTGATGACAGTAAAAACACTCATGAGGTCAATAATTCCGGTGATATTATTCATAATGTTCCTGATGTCTATCGTGGTGTTGTTGGCACTGGCGGCGGTGGTGTTGGTGGTGGTCATTATGACGATGATAGTGAAGAAGAATTTGAAGAATTCAATAAATTTTCTAGTCACCATATTGATGATGAAACATTTATCAATCTGTTACGTCAACCTAACGGTCGATATCCATAACTGTGATGCTTGTGTATGTATTTATCTATGTATGTATGTATGTATGTATGTACACTTTCTGTGCTCAATAACCTTCCTGTTAAATGGGACATTATTATTACTATTACTGCTCCTACTACCGTAACTGTCAATCGAACGCGGTCAAGAGTTATTTTTGTAACACACATCTATATATTTAAAAGTGCTTGCGTGTATCTCTTTGCCTTAGTATTTTTGACATTTCAGAAATTCCGCCTTTGTGTTTGTTAGTTTGTTTGATCTTGACGACGGGGGGGAGTGTGGAGGTCTCCACATTCAAACATGCACACCTTCCCTTCGCCAGTGTGTGATTGTCTCATCCTTTCACATCATTACCATTACCATCATCATCATTAGCGCATTATTTATTTTGGATAATTTTGAAATCTCTCTGTTGTTGTTTTCCTTCCAATTTTCTTGTTTTCTTTTCTGAGTTTGATTGTTTGTTTTTATTTGTCCTAAAAAGAATGGCTGTGTTGATAATTTGTTGTTATTTTTGTTATTTTGTTAAAAAGAAATTGATTGTTATTTTGTTGAAATATCATTTGTTATTATCGCCAATGTGTCTGTCTTATATTTTTATGAGTTGATCACGGATTGATATCAGTTAGAGAAACATTGAAAACCAGTATTGGAGTACTGGACAGCTGCTGTTTCATCCTAGTTTAGAGGATCATTGGCAGTGCGCACCCACTAGGCTTCAAACCCAGTACCTTCCGGTTACAAGGCAAGCTAACTCGTATACCTTTCAGCCAATAGGACCCGATTCAATGACGAGTGGATGAATTCTAACTTTTACCAATTCGTGATTTAGCACGACCATCAACTAATGTCATCGGTGGGACATCCATCCTGACACTTGACTGGTTGGACCTCACTGGTCACGACTTCTCACTAGAACTTCAGGAAACTCTGTCCTGTAGCAAGTCACAAGCGAGCATCAGATTAATTTTCTATAGTTTGGTTTGTAAGGGTTAGTTTTGTTCTTTACGAGTTGATCACGGATTAATATCATTTAGAGAAACATTGAAAACCCAGGGAATTCCGAGTGGAGTATAGAGCTTCAATAGCACGTCTCCACACCTTTCTATTTTCCGCTGCCCTCATCAGCTGCGCCCACAATTGCCCATAGTCTCTCATCTCCCCCTCCTCCTCCTCCTCCTCGCACGATCTCTCCCATGTCAATCTAGGACACCTGCTTATTTTGTCGTTTCCCATTAGGCTTCCACTTGAGAGATGGCCTAGTATGCAATGTCATTCGATGGTCTCCTTAGTGGCGTGTGGCTGATCCATCGCCATTTTCTTCTACATATATGTTGAGTTATAGGGTTCTTGGTTGATTTATTCCCAGCCAGAGTTTCTTGCTATAAATTGTTTCTGGTCAACCGGCCATTTGATCTTCAGTCTACAGCCAGCGAAGAGGGCAGCTGTTAGTCAAAAAGTCTGTTACTTCCTGGAAATGCTTTTCGTGATGCCAACGCTAAGTTTCTGACCTATACAGAAGAACTGACTGACTGACTTCAGATTGTTGTTGAAAGTGAGAATCATGTTCTTTGTGCTGGTTGATTGGAGAAGATTTTGAAACTGATTTCAGATTGATGAAGGTGCATTTTGCCTTTCCGACACTGTCTGACTGGCTTTAACATCGTCATTTGTTCTGTCTTAGTGATGATTATTCATCTGTATGGGGTCCCAGTGGCTGAATAGCCTACAATGATTTCGCTTTGTTAACCGTAAAGTTCTGGCTCCGAACCTCTTGGCGGGTTGGTGAATAGTCCAAAACTAGAGACTAAATGACTCCTCAGTAATTCTTAGTGGTTATTGCTTGGTTGGTTCCAAACTCTTTAAATGAATCGGAGTTTGATCCTCGATCGACTAACTTCATTTAGCTAGGCGGTGGTAAGTCGTTCGGTTAAAAGGGCAGGTTAGTCATGAGGCTAGAAATTCTACCCACTGCTACTAAAACTTCAAAGCCTATAAAGTTTGAAGCTCTATGTCCCATTCAGAACGCAAAGGAATAAAATTAATATAGCTCTATGCCCATTTTTGAGTCCGTGATTCGTTTATTCTTCCTAGTTCGAATGAACCGTTGACATAGAGTGCTTTACATTTACGTGAATATGAAACTGTGAAAAGAATTCTTGTGCTTACATGACAGCTGGATTTCTATTTTGATTCTATCAACGTTGTTTTTAAAGTACTCTACCGGTCTGTATATTGATATGCGAATGACCTCTCAGGAGTATCCACATAGAATTTTTTTTTTTGATTTACAGCTTGATTCCACACCGTATTTTCAGTACAAGTATGGAATTTTCAGCATGGATATCGGTTGCCCAAATTCAGGCATACCATAGATATCGAGTGTGCGCCGGCAGGGGATCGAACCCCGGACCATGTGCATGGTCGGCGAGAGTCCTAACCACTGTGCCACCGATGCATCATTAGGATGACAGGTCTTCATTTTTCAGAGTTCTGCACGATGTCATTAACGGCTTATATTGTAACAACAGAAGACAAGGGCCAGGCAACAGATCGTTTATTTAGGAAATCAACAGATATTTATGGATTTTCATTTACATTATTATAGATTATTGTAAGCAAACAAACACAGTCTTCTGATTGATGGTTTCTCGCTGAACGTTAATCTTTCATCTCTTTGTGGCCGTTTCTTGGGGTTCAGATTATCTATCTGCTAATTGTATCTGCCTACGCAAAGTTCGCTGTTGATTGGTTGTTGAATCAGTCTTTGTTCTTATTTTGCTCACGACCAATATTGGGGACGTAAATATTGACGTAAATTACTGTCTACCAATTTGGCTAGCAGCCAGCTCTCACCACAATATCAGTAAGCAGTAAACCTAATGACTGCAGCATCCCGTGAAACACAGTTTTTCTCGAGGTTGACAGCGGCCTTTCTAAACCATAGAGTTACCTAATTTCCTGCAGAACACAATACGTCAAAATTACTCAGTTTTAGACGATCTGAATTGTTAGGATTAGGCTTGATTTAATTCCAATTGTTAATTTTCGTCATGAACCCACATCAGTTAAAGGGTTCATTGAAAACCAGCAGGAAACACTGGTGATCTGTTTCGTCCTTTGTCGGAACTCCTCATCGGTGGAGTACATGATGTCAAATTGAAGTTTATAATCATCGAAGCTATTGGTGAGAGTAGCACTGGAAAATTTTGATAGAAGTGAATTCCCACCCAGGTGGCTAAATCGTCAACTAGCTTGGTTTTTTACTCTGTAGGCTTTGGGTTCGATCCTTGGCGGGTTCGTGAATGCATATTACTGAAGCGTCTCAGCATAGTTTCCATTTTCCTCTCTAAGCGATGTTTGTTCGTGATGAAATCTATTAACTGAAATCAATCAATTTTACTTTATTGTAACCAGCTGTTTGCGTCCTTAAAGAACAATTTATACTCACGTGCATTTTTCAACAGGTTTCAACATGTTTCTTGGTGTTTTAAATGGTCAAATCCATTGGGGTTGGGAGCATGTTGTCGATAGAACAAAATCCCTTCTAATGATATACCAAAGATTGCTGTTTCACTTGAAGATTCTGTATGGGGGGTAGACAAAAGAGCATGCTAAAAATTCCGAACTGCACATAAACATATTCAGAATAAATCCATTACTGTTATTATTAAAAAATAAATACACTATATCGATAATTACTAGCGCAGATGAAATCCGAACTAATCAGGGTTTTTCCGTGGTTAGTTTACCTGCAATTATTGACTGTTAATTAACAGAAAACGCATACTACCGAAGATGTCACCGCAGTAACTAACCCGACCATAGTTTCGTTTGTTAACTATGATCGGAGGGTTTCATTGTCTTACCTTTTAATCCTGCCGTAGTTGCTTCCACTTGAACAACTAGACAGTATCTTCGTCCATCACCGTTTTTCCTGCGATAATCACAGGGGGATTAGCTTGAGTGATATGGTATCTAAAGTTCTAGACTCAATAATCATGCGTAGACAAAGCAGTCCACGGGAAGAAAAAACGTGAGAGAACCAGACAGGCTTTAGACCAAGAGGAGGGTGTATTGGTCATACCTTCACCCTTCGAATGATTCTGCAACATAGGCATATTGACCGGCGTCCTACAGTCGTTATATTTCTTAACCTGTAGGGGCATTCCATTCCATTTGATGACAATCAGTGGTTTCCGTCACGGATATCCATTGTCCCCATTTCTGTTTAATTTCACCATCGTTGTTCTGATGGACTTAACCCGGACTGACTTCAATGACTGAGAGATTGACTTGTTACCAGGGGATAGTTTTGTCGATTTAGAGCATGTGGATGATATAGTGAAAACGCTGACAATATGCTGAGTCTTCGGAACACCTTGAGCTGCATTCTGAGAATGTTTGGTTTGCAATTCGCTCCCGTCAAATTTAAGATGACGCTACAGGACTGCACTACACAGACCCTCAGCTAAAAAATAAAGAGTGAAATGGATGAGCGTATCAATTGCTTCACTTATTTGGGAAGTTGCATCAACCAACACCACCGGGTTGATCGCTGACGAAATTTCAACACTGATACAAAGGGCTCGTTTGGCATTTACCAACTTCCGTAGTCTCTGGTGAAGACGTGATATCCGGCTGGTTGTTGACCAAAGGACGTATGTACTGCACGGTACCAGTTTGTTCCATCCTCCTTTGTGGCTGGCTGTAAAACGTGGCCAATAAAAGTGGAAGGTATGCAAAGACCAACCAACTATCTGTCTTTGATCATAGGTGTCTGCATTGTATCTCCCGTTTTAGGTGGTAGGTGTAATAGGCTGAGTAATATTGAGTTGGTGAGGCCATCTGTCGAGTAAGTGCTGAGTAAGGAGGGAAAATCAATCGACAAGGTTGTGAAGTTACACCGAATGACATGGTTAAGACATGTGTTACGCATGCATGTCTAGCCATCGCCTTCCTCGACTGACGGTCAGTGTTAGCTGACATAGGATGGATCAGGTTGGAAAAGAGATAGCACATGGTGATCGGGTCAAACGAAAACATGGCTTCATCAGTCAATCAAATCCACAACAGTCAGTTTAAGCCAGACAGCCAGCCAGCCACGTAGGGAGATGTAGACTTCCTGACTCGTTGAGGTCCTCGGGATGATAAAAACCAATGAAGATTGGAGACAATTGGTGATATGGCTCTAACTCATCGTTCTCAATGGCTGGCTGGCTGGCTGGCGAAGATGCATTCACTCTTTGTGGTTTCTCATATCCGATATAACTCTGGTTTTTCCATATTACTACTATTCTTTTTCCCCGCACACCTCTGTCTATTATCTCTCTTTAGTTGAATCTGTGTTTACTATCTTTTCTTATTTTGTGTAATGCATGGAGGGAGTGTGGCAACTCGAACTGCTGCACATCTGTGCAATGTTCTATATTGAAACTGTCGGTGAGTCAGTCCAACACCGTCATTTGTTCTGTCACAAAGAATGAATAGAGTTTGCCTTTAGAAACGTATTTTTATATTCCTTTTGCTTTCCGAGTGGAACATAAAGGCCTCAGGTACGCGCTTTGAATCTTCAGTAG